TCCTTGACCTTGAGTTATTTAATGAAATAAATAATCATCTTCATTCCTCAACAACATAAATGTACAACATAAATGTACAACAATAATGATCAAAGTGTAAATATAATTGGCCCTTATAGAACTGAAAATGATGTTCGCAATATTTTACTGTTGATACAACTGATAAACCGATGACAATATCTTCTACCTRCACATAACRAGTATAGGTAAAAGACAGTTTTTCGGAAACTTAATGAATAGTGCATGCGTAAATAATTGGAAATTTGCTCTGAAAATGAATTTTATATTTTTCTATATTGACTATATTCTTATCCCTACGTCATAAATGTATCTTTGAATACATGACACACTAATTAGTGTCTGCAAGAAGGAATAAAGTTTTTAATTATTTTATTTTGTTATTTTGTTGTTTTTTTTTTTTGCAATAGAGTCAAAAATATTTTACATTACTAAGTAAAAAGAAAAATATTTACCAATTCAAAACGTATTAAATTTAGTTCAATAAAGTTAAATATTATACGGATTACAGCATCTCAAAATGAATTATTTATTTTTATTTATTTCTCTTAAGAAAACAAAGGTCTAATATGAGAATATATCATTACCATTTTTACATAATTACACAACTTTTAACATACCTTATTTTTTTAGAAGCCAAAACCAATATCATATTTATTTTTTCTATTTGATGATTGTCTTTCTCAAGATGATATCAATAAAAAATAATGAATGARAAATAGTTTTTTGTATTATATGATATTATTTTATAAAGGTAAATGTGATGGTAAATTGAAAATAAAACTTTTACAAACTTATAAACTTTAAAAACCAATAAAATCCACATTAATTTTCTAGAGTCGTGACATTATGATTGGCATTTTTTATCTCAAATTTCAAAAAATAATGTGTCGTAAACGACGTTGTTGACTTCTAAATAAAATAAAATGTTCTCTTCAATAGTTTAAATTTCAAACCAATAACCATCGAATCTTTTCAAAAACTTTTTTTATGTATATAATATATGAACGTGGTACACGTATTTATAAGTTGAATGAATTAAAATATTGTATAATATATTATACAGACCATTAATACAAATTACAAAAAAATATGGTTACAAATATCAATTATTGTATTGATAATCATATATTTTTGTTAAATTAAGGAAAACTAAGAAACTAGAGAATTCCTAGGAAGTCACAAAAAAAACCTGTTGATATTAACTCGTGAGACTCATAATTGGCGTGTTGCGATTTTAAGAGTTTAAAATACAGTAGGAATATGATTTTAAACTTTTACATTTTTTTAAATGAAAGCAAGTATAAAATATCGTTTAAAATGCATTACATAGTATGTACCTAATAAAATAATATAATTTGTACTAAACACACAGAAAATAATAATATTTAAATCGATTTCTTCTGTAAATTTTTCTCGTCAACGTTAACAGATTTAAGTGAAAATAAACTTATAAACTTACTTGAACACCTTGACGAAAGTCGTTGTTGGAGTGCATGTACAAGGCGGTGAAGTTCCTGACGATGTCAAACTCGAAAGTCATTTCTACTGATGACCCATAGCCCATAGTGTCGTTTTTCCATCCGACCCATTCGTTGTATTCTGCAGTGAAAAACGATTTTGTTAAATGGTGAGGAAAAAAGAATGCAAAAAACAGCATTGAAACCGATCATTGATAACGAATAAATAGAGTACAAAATACATACATAATATATTATGCACATTACATGTATATTGTTATTTTCGCCGACTTACTTTTCACGAACGGTTCATCGATTCCGTATCGACCGTCGCAGAGTTGTCCTATACCACCGACCAATATACCGCCTTCTTCACGACCATCATAACCCGTGTCTTTTACATCACCCTGTATTACCGAATAGCTGATTACACCTTCTGTGGAATAAAAACAAAAATAGGTATTTGTTATATTAATCTATCTAGTATATTTTCTTGTTATGATATGCATGTGTTTCTTTTATTATTGTTATTATTATTATTATTATTATTATTATCATTATTCATATACCTAGGTACATGTAATTCGCTTATAGTATTTTGTGAGACATGTGTTATTTTATTTTCTATTATTGTCGTGTCTTATAAAACCTAACGAGAAGTTGATATCTTTTTGAAAACATTTTATTTTTTTATGTCGTGTTATACCTCACCRCGTATAACTAGGTCAACATAGAATTAAATAACAAATTACTTATAGTGAGTACCTAATATTTTGTTGGAAATACAATTTTATATTCCACTACGTCGTTAACTGCAGTATAGTTTATTCTTGTCGTCCTTAAGATGTCCATTATGTTTAGAGTTACTAAATAGTACAAATTCCTAATATACGGAATCCTGTCAAGACAGTTAAATTTAAATCTGAATGCTTATAAAATATTCAGTACTCTATGAAAAGACTRACTCAAATTTATTAAAGTGCATTCATAATTCAATTACATAGACTTGTATTTCTGTCATTGTTTCACAGTTAAAATTCTTTACAGTGAAATACACAAATTTCTTTGATTTTAATTTCATAAAATTCAACAAAAAACTTCAGATAGATTCTATAATGAATACATTGGTTTATTATAATTTACAGCAATATTATACCAATAAAGTACCTATAAGCATCAAAAAAATACTATATTGAATGAAATGTAATTTGTCTGAAAAACAGATAAATATAATTTAAGGTTAGGTTATATATATATCTAAGATATATTTTACAAATTGCAACAATATGGTTATCAATCAGTAACTAATAACTATATACTAGACAAAGGTTTCGAATTGTATTTAAATCCTTTATAAATAGCTGAACGAGCTTGTAAATAAAATGTTCAAGTTATTTACTTTTGAACGCAAAAGCATAAGTGTTGAATAAAATAGTTTAAAAATGTTTTAAAACTCTATTCCTAGTCGTGCAACAGTAATATGTTCAAATAATACAGTTATACCCACTCCAAAGCTGAATACTGGAACATTTCTACTTTTTAATCGATAATTGGTAGATAATATGACAATTTTATCCAAAGACTAACAACGTTATTMAAACCTTACTATTAATATTAAATAATATTTAAACATATTTTATAATATATTATATTATTTTCTTTGTATTATAATAAACATGTACTCTTAAAATTTAAAATTAATTCACAAACCAAACCTTAGAGCAAATAACAAATAAAAAATCAAATGGAACAGAGACAGGAATACTCAGTGAAATACTCAGAGATACACATATACAAAAAATTAACCTGCAAAATTCACTAAGAAAAAATCTATACACCTTATTAGACTTAATTAAACCCAGCAGATGAAATGTTACTTCTATATACAGAAATATTAWWACTCTAACTAACTTATTAGTTTATTACTACTAGGGAATGCTCAGTATGGGCTGCTGCTTCCCATGTAATAATTAAAAAATTGAAAATTCTCCAAAGCGAATTTCTGAGAACATCAATCAAAATCTTTCGGGCTGTGTGAAATAAACAACCACATAATTAAATGGGATTGTCCTATCAATATGGATAATTAACCGATACAAATAAATCTTAAGTAACCTGAATAAAATTGAAAGAATTCCATAGTAGAATTGGTTACAAAACATCTCAACCAGCACGTCTTTCACAAAACAGATTTCCTAGTAGACCAATCAGACAAYGAATAAAGAAGAGCAAAGATTTCCTTTATTTGAATTAATTTTAAATTKTATTACTTTTAAATACATTTGGTTGGTCGCAAATTAATCTACTCTTATAATCTTATCACACACAATTGCARTGGTGAGCTTTAAATTACGTACCTTCCAAGATAAGTATACATTATATTTATATGGGTAGGTAAACAATCTCTAGAGCTATATTAACACATAATATTGAATTGCAGTCCTGTAATGGTTTCACAAAGTCAAATATAAATATGAACTTTTCCAAAACGCCGTAAAATAATATGCACATTGCACAAGCTCACAGTTTTTGATGGAAGTTTAAAATATGCACAGCGACATTTATTCGCATGACCATGTGCATAATATCATCATTCAGAACATGCAGATAAAGTATACGTGCACGTTTAACATCATGTAATTCATTGTGCATTTATGAAGGTTTTTTTTTAATTTTCACGAACTTATGATTTTTYTATCCGTATAATATATCAATGTATGATTATAATTTATAATTATATGATGATTATTTTATCATAAYATGATACCTCGTTAAAAAAAATGTCAACGATCGTTTTGGAAAATATTAATCTATCCTTAAAGGCCATACAATATAGTGTATTATTGTTATAAATCGTAATTATTCAGTATGCCCTTACCGTAATGATAACAACCGATGATTTCAGCTCGAAGGCAAACCATGCGCGGCTGTCCGCTGTAAGGCACTAAACGGATTTTTGATGCTATGATTGCCGGCACCAAGGATCGGTCTACTATTGTATTCGTGTCTCTATTGGCTTGCAAAACCTGTAAACAAAACCGTAAAATATTAATTATTCACTTGCGGTGGTGTATAAAATAAAACGAACGGTACAAGTTATTTTAATTTTATATTCGTTATCCGCAGCATCGTATTACGACCTGTGAGCGAGCTGTTTGTCTAACTAAAGTTGTGGAGAAAATTGGTGTCTTAAAAAATAATGTATTTCAWAATGTCTAAGTTCTAAACACTTTTAATTTAACACTTYCATTCGCATATTGTTACAAAATATCACACAGGGCACAATGATTTTTTTTTATGTTCAATTTACATTGATAAATTATAAAATGTATTATARTGTTATGAAGTATAAATAAATCACAATATACTCTCCTCATCAGTCTTGTGTACGTAAATTAAATCACTATTGCACAAAGAAGTTATAAAATTACTCTTTAGGTACATTAAATATTGTGACTATTTATACGAAAGTGTAAATTAATAGTATTGTTGATTCCGATGTTTTACAGTTATAAAAATGTATGATATCTAACATTTGGTGGTTATCATACTATGTTTATTGTACGATTAAAAATATTGTTATCTAATTCAGATTATATCTGAAATTCATMGAAGTTTTCACGTAGATGAAATATTGAGTGCTAATTGTAGAACACAGCTATTGTTATTGAAATGTACACAACTTTCCTGTCTATAACTAATGAAATTTACGAGATGGTCCCTGTAGAATAATAATTAATTCCTCACTATGTCTTGAAGATATTCAATTTTCAAGTATAAAACATAATTTCACAGGCTAACACTTTTCATCGTATCGGATACGGTTTGTAGCGGCCACATAGAGTAGGTACATTCAAATTATCACTCAACGACAGAAACCAAGTTTTCTCATTAAACATAATGTTCCTAATGTTCCTATATATATATGTATATTGTATATTTATATACTTTATACATATATACGTAGGTACATTTGTTCATACATATATTGTATATAAATGCTACAATAAACTTAGTAGTTCGTATATTATATTGTATGCTATACGGCATTAAGTACAAATATTCGGCACACTATAGTATCATACTGTTGTTGTCCAACAACTTATATTATACTTATATTATAAAACCAGGTGATATATTCTGATAATATAGAAGATTGGACAGAAAATTCCAAACAAACATCAAAATTCAATAATATGATCGCCAATGGGTGATGGTCGATAGATGCGTTAATACAAGAATTGTTTTGATGTTAGATTTAAATAAACACCATAGACTTGTATATTACGAAATATGAGATTGATTTTCAGACTCATCATGACTTCTACTAATTAACACTAATTAAATACTTTTTCAAAATTCAATTYTTATGGATCAAAATTTAATTAAATTGTTTCACTTCATATAATGAATACATATGATACCATTATAATTAAGAAAACAATAATAAACATGAAAAAWATATCGTAAYAATGTAATAGAAAAAAATATACAAGTAGATGTCGCTCTACTGTACAGGTGTCGTCGGTGTCGAGTGTACATCGTCATCAAGTAGGTCACAGCAATGAATGTGGTGTATTATTTTGAATTCAATGATCAATCATTGTACCTATACGATAAGTGTTTCTGAGTAGAGATGCTGAAGCAGTCTGTATGTTACCATTTATATTGTAGCAATTTCCGCTGTAGAAATTTATTTTACTTTTAGTAAAACTATAGATTGAATTCATTTTTTTTTAAACATATTTACCTTAGCTATTAAATATTTATGTCAATATTCGATGAACATTTAAAGTCTCTACGATTATTTATTTTTTAATTACAACAAAAAACTAAAATCGATAATGTCGAAAACTGATTTTGCGGAAAAATATAAATATTTTCTTATTTCCCTCTTAAGTTATTTTATAAAGCTCAGTGTATTTTTTACTTTTTATCCCTAAAGACCCAAACTATCTACTGGGTTAAATTTTCTATCTAAACCCATCTCAAAGTTGAAAATCTAAACATTTTTACTGCTTCAATATCAAAAATATGTTTTTATCAAGAACTGCTGTTTTTCAAATGATTTTAAATTATATGAAAATAATTTTAAAATCGTTAATACTTTTCACACGTTACATCAGAGTATTAAACAAAGTTAAGTTAATTTAAGTTTAAAGAATCAATTTTGAATACTCATATTGCTCTTTAGATAATATATTGAAGAAAATAATAACTGACTGTATTGACATTCGATCATAAATTAAATTCTCCTCTTTCGACGTAAGAAACTACTAATTATCTTCACTAATTTTAACCTAAAACCCTTCGTATAAGTTTCACAATGTTTTACTTCATTAGCTGCAAACAAATTAATACAATGAAGCACTTAGGTGTATCAAATATCTACGAAATTCTTTAATCTCAAAATAAAATAAAAATGAAATTATAATGATAAACTATATGAGTTGGGTTAAAATTTAGTGTTTTATATAACTTAATTCAAAAATATAATATGATTGTATAATAATTCTCTGTATTTTGTATAGTTGAATACATAATTATTTTAAGTTAAAGTTTGTAAATATTTTACTGAATAGAAATAAATTAATTGTTCTAATAATAATAATAATAATAATAATAATAATAATAATATCATAATGGTTTTCCAGGCCTGTCATCTACAGCGATTCTATGGACACAACCTCATACAGAACTGTATGCAGTTACTGGCAAAACATATTTTATATCATAGAATATACATTAAATTCCAATTTGTGCATGCGTATAAAATAATCACGATTTGATAGCACAAACCGTGTAGATCGCAATGCATGAATGACGATTATTTATTGATGTACCAATAATGTACAATATACATCTGTGTCATTAACGATATTTTGGATATTATTATACATAATATCATCGTAATAAAAAATAATATTTGGTGATTGGCAATAAATTGGCAGTACATACTACTGACTCGTTTTACAAATCAGATAAGTAAGTTAGTTAAGTAAGTTGCAAATTCCTATACAAACATCGCACATACACACGCTTTTTATTAAAATATACACAAGTGACATGCAGATGTACGATAAATAGAATAACTATAATAGTTTGCCCGGGTAGTTTTATTATTTTATGATGATAACCTTAGACAAAAATGTAAGTACCTACCTAAAATTTTAGATATATCATGAAAAAATGCAAAAAAATAACATGAAGAATTCCATAGCATGTGTTTTGGCGATGAAACACATTCTTATTTGTTTTCTCGTACAACATTGMATTTTTCAGTGGAATCACCGTTCCCAGTTACGCTTAACCACGTGAACAAGGATATGTAAATAGCACATAACAGAAATCGTGTAGATTACGAGCATAGCGTATAACGCAACCGGGTAGAATATTTTGTGACGTGAAGTTATTACAAACGCTTTGTGTATCGCAGCATATTATTGTATATAATTTACAGTACTATACAAATCGTTAATATCGAATTTCACGTGCAAAGCTCGGYAGTGAGCCTCGTCCATAAGTACATAATATGCCTACAATAATACTCAACGTGATGGCGAGGAACGATTCAAGTTTTATATACGCTGCAACATAAATAATATATATATAATATACACACCAGTGGCATAAAACTTTTGGAAACTATCGCATGCATAATATAACATATATATATATATATATGCGCGCGCGCGCGCGCGCGCGCGCGTGTGTGTGTGTGTGTGTGTGTGTGTGTGTGTGTGTGTGTGTGTGT